TAAGGTTAGGGTCAGGTGTGGGGTAGGTTTAGGGGTTAGCATTTTTGTAGCATAGTGTAGGAAACCAACACTTCAATTGACACAACCAATAAAAACTTTAGAATCAGCTTGTGGGGCGGAGTTTGCACTGAAGTGGATTGGGGGGGGAAATTCAATAGTATGGTCCTGCACAACCGGAGACTGCAGTTTCAGGACCGCAGAGGAGATCCACATTCAGGCTGTCCATGACCACACTGCAGAGCTAAAGACACTGCTGGACTTCATTGTAAAGTTACAGGGATCTGAGGAGCATTTAGTGGTACTTAAACAATGTTCACATTTAATCATCATTACAAACAAACTCGTAGTAAAGGTTCACCAAGGGCCTTAATTAGGAATAACATTAACAATATCTTTTAACTATGCTGCAAATTATTGTATCTTTATCTTAAATGTATCAGTTTCCTCAAAATAACTGTTTTTGCACAATGGTTTGCCCATAGGGTGTACTCAATGGGAAGCCCTCTAAGGAACAGCTGTCCTGTTTGCCGATCTGAGAGGAGTGCTGCATAGGACACCAACACAACTGAGCTTCACAGATGAAGTGCAGAGGTATGCCTGACCATGTAATGTGTTTGTGAGTGTCCTGCTCCTGCACTTACAAAATCTTAAACAAATACAAAAAATAAATAATAACATAAATGCAAGTTCTTTATAAACGGGCAGAATGTTGACTGGTACAGTATTGGGAAGTCCATTAACTGGTACAAAAAGGTTCATACTCACTGATCTATATATAATGATATAATAATAATAATATAATGTTCTCTATTATAGATCAGTTGTCACACTACACAGTTCACATTCATACCTCAGTGGATGTTTGCGCTTTATTTAAGCCTTGAAAATCGTTGAAAGAGGACAGGAGTGGAGGTGCACCTTACCAGAACTGGCATTTCAGCCATTGTCCACGAGATACTTCAAGGGGAGGCACTTCAAGCAGAGCATAGTATTGGCTGGGAAAGGAGTGGACATACTGGGAATCTGGGCAATGCCATCAGTTCTGCTCTCAACAAGCAGTCTGGCCATCTGGAAGGTGCCTTGTTCTGGCTGCCACCAGAACTGACCTGAAAAAGTGCAGGTCGGGGTCAACACCCACCTTCAAGGGCATACAGACAGCTTCTGTCTTACTATTACTGACAGCATTATCGCTGACAACATTATGTAAATGTATTTATTTGGTAAAAGGGATATATTTATTTACTATTTTTCTGTAAGAGAGGGCGTGGCCATTTGCAAATTTAATGTGTCTGGCTTCTGGTCTCATCCGCTTCCAGATATTTTTAGCTGTACAAAACAGCACGTTTTGCTGCTTGATATTGCAAACTGGTGTTTCTTACCACATTATTTTACTGTATTATCTTAATTCTGAACACACTTGTTTGTAATGCAAACAGTTTTAGTGTTTACTGCACTTCGTTATTCTTCTCGTTATTTCTCTACAGCGGCTAATGAACCAGAAGTCTCGCACATTAACAGAAAACAGCTTACTTCCGCATTGAAATAAGGTGGATATATTTTGCAGTATTACTTATTTATTATCCTCTTTAGTCTTTAAAAACACTATGGGCCAATCTGACAGCTGATACGTTGCAGTTTGCAACTTGAGTTATGCATATTTAACTATATAACTAATTACAGTATTTATAATTAAAATGCAGCGTTATTCAGTTAAATAGTTTGTGTTACGGAACAGGAAGAAAAAGCTGTAACTTAAAAACCTACATGTGTTCAAAACGTCTCAACTTTGAGATGAGTGAAGTGCAATAATAGTAATGGCTAAAGTCATTATTTGTGCACATAAGAACCACCAGTGTTTGGTGTCAATGATGTGAAATCAGTTATGAAAGCAGCATGAACTGCTTTAACTTGTAATTTAATATCATGTTTTAAATAATAGTTTACTGTTGCGTAGGCCTACTTCATCATTTTTTGCCTCTTGTTTGTCTCCCTGCACATGGGGCAACATACATGAATCATAAGATCAGCAATACTAGATATCCAAACCCACATTTTGCCCAGAAAGGCAGAATAAATGAAACTCAAATAGTTAATAGTTAACACTTTATTGGTAGATTGATACTGATGAGTAACTGGTTGGACGTTGTTCAAACATAAGAATTGTCACTGTAACTTAAAGCACTGACTGAATCAGGGAAATTCATTCCAATTTAAAATGATATAGAACAGAAAGTAATCTTTGAGTATTGGTTTGCGTTCCAATTAAACAAACCATCAAAATACTAGAAGAAAATTTTACATCTAAGAAAATAAGTAAAAGTAAAAATACAAAACTATACACATAAGCATTAAGTATATTTCTTAATAAGTGCCCCTATTATGCCATTTCCAATATTGCCTTTCATGGTGTGTAATGTAGCTGTATGTGAATGTAAACGATCTGCAAAGTTGTAAAGCTGAAAGTGCACGATAAATAAAGTTATTGTCTCCCAAAATAAAGAATCGACTCTGTACAGCCTAGACGAGTCGTTAGTAATTCGAATCCTACTTCCGTGACGGCTACACCTCACCGGGTAACACATTTGCATAATGCGCCCTATGTTCTACGTTGGCCGGCTGCGAACAACTTGACCCCGCCCACAAACATGGCATTCTACTGACCACTGCTTCTCTAATCTCAGGGAGTTCAACGCAGGATTATGGAAGTATGTTAAATAATAGATGTTTATATTTTCTATAGAGCGTTCAAAATACAGAACTATTGAAATAGGCCTATCGTTTCTGACACTGCTGTATGCAGTAGACCAATCACAATAGACTAGGCCATCTGACCAATCAGAGCAGAGTAGGCTCACTGAAAGGAGGTGTTTAGAGAGACTGAATCTTTGAACTGCTTCGAACGAATCGTTTGAGAATCGCTGGAAATTGAGGTATTAAATGCATATTTTGAGAAAACATTATTGTAGGAGACTCCCAAAACAATATTAGGAACTGTAAAATTGGCATAATAGGGGCACTTTAATACATTTCTACTACATTGCAAAAAAATAACAGTTACTGTTTTCTGTCACCCTGTGTCATTTTTGGCTTTTATGACATAAAAAAAGCATATACAGACAAAATAAAGTATGTACCTACTAAATCTATCCAATACATGTTCCCTAAATTCTGTTTATGCCTGATAATTACATATAAACATTTATGGCATTTTATTAAACTATTAAGCAGTACATATGCGCAAATACTGACTCAGAACAAAAGCCATTTTTTTAGCTCAGTGCAAGTACTGCAAACAGATGAATATGATTTTCTAATGGCATTGTTCTCTTTGTGTTTACTAAGAGTCAACATTCAAAAGCAGGCTTAAAAGTCTTGCTCTCGTTCTTGATGATTTAGGAATTTGATCAGCCTTGGAGGAACTGGAAGCCTGTGAATTTTCTTCAGTCTCTTGATCCCGAGCAGATTGCGGATTTTCAGTCTGCAGAGCTGCATGAGTGGGCGTGGAGGCGCTGCAATCAGAACCAGCAAATGAATACACAGGTGACTGAAATCATTTGCATATACGAATAATTTAAGCAAAAGGTATGGGAGCACATACTCGCTTTCTCTTTGATGCACTGCCACTCGTGGTAACTGTCCAGATGTTCAGTGAGTCGTGCACAGAGTTTCACATGCCCAACATAGTCAAGCAGAACGTCTATAATCGGTCCTGCCCAGCGGGAGTAGTTTTCGGTGGAGATCACCTCACAGAACTAGTAAAAAGTGGTGTAAAATGTGGCAATATACACAATATACAATTCAGAAAAAAATATTACATTGTATGTAGAATTGGCTTCAGGCCACTCACCTGAACACAGGTCTTTTCTACAACTTCATCTGGATCATATCTCTGATTACGCCTAGTCTTTATAGGTGGATGAAGATTGCTGCCATAAACGCAATTGAAACATGACAAGGCATCACAGCCATTATCCATTAGATACTTCAGTATGGTCAGATACTTCATGCAGAACATAACACTTGCTGGAAAGGTAGTTGGATGAGTTGGGATGTAGGCATTGACATTAGCACCATGTTCCACCAGCAAAGTCACTGTCTGGATGCAACCCTGCCTCAGGGCCACCAGGAGCGGGTTGAACGTGTCCAGGTTTGGATTAGCACCAGCCTTCAGGAGCATGGTGGTAGCATCGATATTGTTGTTCATGACAGCAAAGTATAGAGCTGTGCTGCGCCGATCTTCATACATCATAGAACGATCCTCAGACAACATGGCATTGACGTCAAAGTCGGCCTTAATTAGGAATTCAACAATATTGTTTCTGTTGCGCTCTGCTGCTAAATGGAGGGGACTGATACCTGTACGTCTCACTCTGGCCTTGCTTGTGGCTGGGATCAGCATGGATATGATACTGAAAATGAGAAGTTGTGTGTTCTTGAGTGTTATCTTGCTAGTGTACACTAAAATACTCTTGAATGTGAGGTTAGAATTTGACTCTATTAGGGTGAAATGACCATTATGAGATGTTAAAATTATTCCATAAGAAGACTAATAATATATATAAAAACCTTTGAAAAACTTGTATGTAGTGATTAGCAATAAAATTATAGAGGAACAGTTCTAGGGTTGGGAACCGACATTTTTTGTATAAAAAAAAAAGTATGGAAGAGAAGGAGTTTGTTAGGGGCCAGTGATGCAGAACAAGTTTTTGACCATTGCGCTCATGTTTTTTCAGCGTCTCACGCATGACACTGCATTCTAAAAAAATGCAGTGCTCAAGTTAAATAAAAAAAACACCTCTACTGAATCTACAATGCAAAACAGAAAGCGCAAATAGAGTAATTTGATTTCCGAACAAATAATTCATATGAGTTCACTCTTTCTAGTGAATCAAAAACAGCGTAGTGTAGTCCAATTCCTAAACAAATGGGTTTTATGAGTTGCTTCTTTTTCGTGAATCAGAAACAAAATATGTATTCTGATTCCCTCTAATAAATGTAATAAATCAAACTTATACAGCTTACAACTAACTGTAAATGACTGTAGTCACTGACTAGTTGTTTTTTATATGACAGTGTGTAGTTAAAGATACAGTACACCTTAAGCGTAGTCAGTTTTGTTTTGTTGTTTTTTTTTATTATTTATTTTTGGCATTTTTGCCTTTATTAGGATAGGACAGTATTTAGACAGGAAGCGAAGTGGGACACAGAGAGGGAGGACGGGATCGGGAAAGGTCCGTGAGCCGGGACTCGATCTTGGGACGCCCGAACCGCAACAGCACTATGTCGATGCGCTTCCTACGAGGCTATTGGCGCCGACTACTCAGTTTTTTTAACAGTTAAACACACCTAATGCAATAATTGTAATAAATATTTATTGCTTAAAAATACTGAAATAAATTTTAATGGAATTTAAATAGTTAAAAGGAACCGGAAGCCAGGATCATCAAATTCTTTACGATTCCCATCCCTAAACATGTCATGCTATCAAGAATTACTCTATGGGATGATTAGTTTTACTGTTAGGTGAGAAAAGACCCTACACACAATAAACTAGAAGAGTTATAACGTGTGTCAGAAGAAAGAGCACTTATCTGAAATGGTATTTTGGAAATAAAACCACTTACTCCTACTTGAGTTAGCTTGAGTTAAGGTTACAGGTTACAGGATTAGCACCCTCTTGCCACAGCACTGCTCTAAAGCACCCATTGAGACTTACTTAGTTGCCCTGACATTTTTGTGGGTACACCCGAAAGTGAGGAGGTCTTTGCTGAAAATTAATGCAAGATTATGAGATGTACTAAACCTAAACTCTTAACAACCAATGGCCTTCGCATATAAATAAACTGTGACCCGAGAAAATTCCTCCCAAAGCAAATTCATTCATTCATACAAATTCCTTATTAAGTGAATTCTGAATTGATACCTGTCATTGCCACGCTGGGCAGCAATATGAATTGGCAACAGTCCTGTCTTTCCTGGCTTGTTTGCGTCTGCATTTTGAGATAGAAGAAACTCTACAATGTTCTCATGACCATTTTTACAGGCCTCATACAGCGCTGTGGCTCCATCTGCAGCCTGGCTGTTGAGATCTGCACCTGAATGAGGTGAGATGCATTACATGTCAGATGCATTTCATCACAAAGCAGCAATGGAAGAGAAACAAAAATAATGTTACCATTTTTTAAAAGCATGCGAAGTGCATCCACTTTTCCACTTTGGGCAGCCACAAAGATAGGAGTGATTCCGTACATGTTGGGCATGCTGACTTTGGCTCCAGCTTTTATCAGCATCTCACAGATTTCCACATTGTTCCTGCACACACTCTCATGGAGAGCGGTCCAGCCTTGAATACAGCTCTTATTCACAGAGGCGCCGTAATTCAGTAACATGGCAACCATCGCTGGGTTCTCCTTCTCACAAGCTACAGATATGTATAGAAATGCTAAAATTTTCCATAACACCACTGAACAAAAAAAAAAATATATTTTTTAAGAATTGATGTTTTTAATAAAATGATGTGGCTCTAGGCTGGTAATCCAGGATTTATACTTCAAACAAGATAGATAGATAGATAGAGAGATAGAGAGGTAGATAATTATATACTTACTAATACGATATTACCTTTGTAAAGGGGAGTCTCCTTCTCTTTATTGGCAATATCAGGATCAGCTCCTTTCTCCAGAAGGCGCTCCACACATGCAAGATGTTCCCTGGTCACAGCTATCATTAAAGCCGTCTGCTCTTTTAAAGTGCGCTGGTTGATCATCCCAGGTTGAGCTATGAGAATAGTGTTCATGATCAAAGCCAGAACAATCTGATAGAGCTTGGCTAAATAAAGTTCAATGGAGTAATTGTCAAATGAGTGCACTCTACCTCTCAGGATAATTTTAATACATTGATCTTGTCCATAATATGCCGCCTCGTGCAAAGGAATCCATCCATCGTTATTTGGTTTAAGGAGGTTGCACCCAGGTTGCTTAACCAATAGTCTCACTGATCCCACATCTCCTTCTGAAATTGCCTTAACAATAGGCTCAAGCTCCCTAAAGAAGAAACTGCTTTCACTTTTATGCATTTAGCGTCGCAGATGAGATGTTCATTACCCCTCTCATATTCATAAATGTTAAAACACATAACATATTACCATTCAAAAGTTTGAGGTCTTATGCATCACAACTTTTTTCAACATTGATAATAAGAAATGTTTCTTGAGAAGCACATCAGCATATTAGAATGATTTCTGAAGGATCATGTGACATTTCATGATTTCAGCTTTGCCATCACAGGAATAAATTATATTTTAAAATATAAACAGTCCTTTTAAATTGTAATAATATTTCACAATATTACTGTTTTACTGTATTTATTTTAAATAAATGCAGCCTTAGTGAGTATGAAATTCAAAATATTAACATTTTTGAAAAAATCTTTTCACTTTTCTTACATATATGCTTACTAATGAGCACACTATATATATACAGTGCATTCAGAAAGTATTCAGACCCCCTTCACCTTTTTCAATTTTGTTGTTTCAGCCTGAATTGTTTAAATTAATTTTTTCTCATTAATCTATACTTCGTACGTACAGTGAAAACAGAATCTTAGAAATGTCTGTAAATTTAATTAAAAAGAAATATCACATTTACATAATTACTCAAACCCTTAGGTGAAGCACCTTTGGCAGCAATTACAGCCTCAAGTCTTTTTGGGTATGACACAACAAGCTTTGCACACACACCTGGATTGGGGGATTTTCTGCCATTCCTTTTTGCAAATCCTCTCAAGCTTGGTCAGGTTGGATGGGGACCGTCGGTGGACAGCCATTTTCAGGTCTCTACAGAGATGTTCGATAGGGTTAAAGTCAGGGCTCTGGCTGGGCTACTCTAGGACATTCACAGTTGTCCCTAAGCCACTCCTGTGTTGCCTTGGCTGTGTGCTTAGGGTAATTGTCTTGTTGGAAGGTGTACCTTTGGCCCAGTCTGAGGTCTTGAGTGCTGTAGAACAGGTTTTCATTGAGGATATCTCTGTATTTTGCTCCATTCAGCTTTCCCTCAACCCTGACCTGTCTCCCAGTCCCTGCTGCTGAAAAACACCCCACAGCATGAGGCTTCTATCAGCATACTTTACTTTTGGGATGGTACTCTGTAGGTGATGAGCAGAGCTGGTTTCCTTCAAACATGATGCTTAGAATTGAGGTTCATCAGACCAGATAATCTTGTTTCTCAGAGTCTGAGGGTCCTTTAGGTACTGTTTTGCAAATTCCAAGTGTGTTTTCATGTGTCTTCATTGAGAAGAGGATTGAGTTTGGCCACACCGCCATAAAGCCTAGATCGGTGGAGTGTTGCAGTGATGCTTGTCCTTAGGTTTCTCCCATCTGCATATATGATCATGGAGCTCAACTAGAGTGACCATCAGGTTCTTGGTCACCAGTCTACACAATTCCTTTTTTACAGGCCTCATACAGCGCTGTGGCTCCATCTGTAATCTGCTCCATCTGAAATCTTCTCCATCAATTGCTCAGTTTGACTGGGCAATCGGCTCTTGGAAGAGTCCTGGTTGTACCAAACTTCTTCCATTTGAGAAATATAAGCTTTGCCATCACAGGAATAAATTATATTTTAAAATATAAACAGTCCTTTTAAATTGTAATAATATTTCACAATATTACTGTTTTACTGTATTTATTTTAAATAAATGCAGCCTTAGTGAGTATGAAATTCAAAATATTAACATTTTTGAAAAAATCTTTTCACTTTTCTTACATATATGCTTACTAATGAGCACACATTGTCATGTAATTGTGCAATCACTCACTCTTCAGGCTCAGGGGCGACTTGCATACTTCCATCGTATTTTCGGTAGGCCACCATTCGCTTGCCATAACCAGTCACAAAGTGACTTACTGAAATCACATCCTGTAGATTTATTGTTTCTCTTTGGACAAAAAAGAAAAGAGTTGATATGAGTTAAATTAATGTTGCATTAGATCTCTAGCTATTGCACAATCACTGGGCTGCCACGGAAAGGGGATGGGATCATTTTCAGAATTGGTATTTTTTTTAACCTACAGTATTTTCAAATTAAATTACCTATGTGTTAAGTTTGCAATTAAACAAAAATCAACCACTGGAAGATTAGTTTTAATGTCAGATTTCAGGGGAAATTTAAACAAGTGGATTGGGGCACAGCAAAGGATAGGGTCTCTATTTTTATGCACGGTGGCATGTAAACTTGAACTATGCTTGCTCGAATGTTGGCCTCTGAATGAAGAGGAACAGGTGTGAAGCAGCTGTGCCAGTCATCAGAGAAGATGCAGTAGGCATCTGTAATTGATATTGTGACCCTCCTTGTGAGATGAATCATCAAAACATGACAGGAAATTTTATGTGGCAATAAACTGACGTGTATGTTTTACATGCAGTCTTAATTTCCTGTTTTGCATAAATAATATAAAATAAATATCTATTTAAAAGAAAAATTTAGCTTGCTGTATAAGTTTGAAAATAAACATGTTGATGAATATCTATTAAAAGATAGGTCAGTGGGAGTATGATGTACTAAGCATTGGTTATTTTTATACTCGCAGTGAGAGTTTGATTTATGACAGCACCTCATTTCAGTTTGAATGAAGCCCATCAAACTGTACCTGGGTGGATTGGCAGGACACGCAGCTGGTTCTGTCTGCTGCTGGGGACGATGTGATGGTGGAGCTCGGCGTGGGCCTGCTGGCCTGTTTAGAACAACAGGGGTCTTTGAGTTTTCAGTGCCTGGCCCAGAGTTCTGGGCATCAGCAATGCTTCGCTCGATTGCCAGCTGCATGAGCTCATCATCAGACAGGTTGCTATAGAGACTGTAGTCAGCAAATTCCAGGTTGGAGTCTGTGGCACCCGGCATGGACACACGGGCGGCTTCCATGATGGATCCTGAGACAATCAAAACATTCATTACTTAATTAAACTACTGGACTAACATCTGTTTGCTTGCATACTTATCACAGAAAACTGTTACTGGAAATTTCATTAGCTTGCTTGATTAGGACAGACAACTAAATTATTTAATGGTAAATCTGACAGATTTTTGATGTAATATCTTTGAAAAAAAGTGTCATATGTCCGAGGCTGCAGTTTTTTTTAGTAATAATACAGGTACAAAAGTAATTTTGTAAAATATATTTACAATTTAAAATAACTTTTTTCTATTAAAATGTAATCAGTTCTTCAGTCTCAATCTAGTATACAGCATGTATATATGTATATATATCTTGGAAGAGTCCTGGTTGTACCAAACTTCTTCCATTTGAGAAATATAGAAGCCACTGTGCTCTTGGGAACCTTCAGTGCAGCAGAATTTTTTTTTGTAGCCTTCCCCAGATGTGTGCCTCGATACAATCCTGTCTCTGAGCTCTGCAGGCAGTTCCTTTGACCTCATGGCTTGGTTTTCACTCTGATATGCATTGTCAGCTTTGAGGCCTTTTATAGAGAGGTGTGTGCCTTTCCAAATCATGTATATATACACCCTAGTGAAAAATAAATATACTAAAATGTATTTGAAATACATTTATTTCATGCTAAGTATACTACAAACACATTTACATATTTATGTGCTTAATAAAAATACCCTGCAATTGTACTTTTGGTATACCTTATTTTACTTAATTATACTTTAGTTACACTTTAAATGTCTTGCATTAAAAGGGTTAGTTCACCCTAAAATGAAAATTCTGTCATTAATTACTCACCCTCATGTCATTCCAAACCCGTAAGACCTTCGTTCATCTTCGGAACACAAATTAAGATATTTTTGATGAAATCTGAGAGCTCTCTGACCCTCCATAGACAACAAGGATATTACCACGATCAACGTACAGAAACGTAGCAAGGGCATCGGTAAAATAGTCCATGTGACATCAGGGGTTCAACCGTAATTTTACAAAGCTACAAGAATACTTTTTGTGTGCAAAGACAACAATAATAACATAATTTTTTCAGCAATTCTTCTCCCCGAGTTACTGTACTTTTCCGCCATTCGCCATTTTGGAGAGTACCCCAGAACATAATCAACGTAATTTGATGATTACGTTGATTACGTTCTGTGGTACTCTCCAAAATGGTGGAAGACGGTAACTCAGAGAGAAGAACTGTTGAATAAATTATGTTATTATTGTAAGTTTAATTATAATTTTTATACCAGTAAGCCTTGAGCGATATGTCAGTAAATATGTCAATAGACTTTAACTGTACTTTGTATGAAATAAATGTATTTTAAATATAGAATATAAACAATATTGTACAAATACATTTTTATTTTTTGTTTTAAATGCTTTGTGTGTGTGTGTGTGTGTGTGTGTGTGTGTGTGTGTGTTTTCAAGCCTCATTGAGAAAAGGTTGCAATAAAATGCAGAAAATAACTGAAGAGTCAGTAACAGGAAATTTATCATTTATAAGTTTGCATATACAGACATTTACCCTTAAAGGGATAGTTCACCAGAGCTAAAAACTCTGTCATCATGTATTAACTTCATTCACTTGAAATTAATTCATGTTGTTTTAGACGAGAATAATTGCACCACAAAATAAGATATTTTAAAGAATGTTGGTAACCATTGACTTCCATTGTATGGACAGAAAAATAAAACCCAAACAAACAAAAAACCCCCATGACATTTCTCAAAATATCTTTTTATAGAAGAAAGTCATACTGGTTTGGAACGACATGAGGGTGAGTAAATGATGACAGGATTTTAATTTTTGAGTGAATGATCCCTTTAAGTATTTTTAGCATAAAAAATAAATCGTACAATTAAAACTTTTTAAATAGCAGGTAAAAGTGCATTTAAAATAAAAGATCATTTTAATTAAACCAAAGAGTGTGACTCATTACCATTGCTAAAAAATTATGATCCTTCTCAGCATTTTTACAATATTAATGCACCAATGTATACTGCACCTTCATCCAAAACACAAACACAAGCCAGAACAAACACCAAAAAACAAGCTACTTACCACTTCAAAATGTTTTACTTTTCTTTTTCCCTTCTTTAACTACGTATCAGATTTCCAAACAGGAAAGGTTGTTTTGTTTATCCCAATGTCTAGTGGCACACTTGACACTTGCTTGCACTGGGACCTGTTTAGCTCTCTGCAAAGAGAGGCCTTTAACTGTCACCCCACACCCAACTGTTTAGAGTGCATTCTGAGTACACGTGATACGCAGTATGCCAAGATCATCCTCTTAGCTATTGCTGTTCTTGAGGGGTTGCAGACCTGGTGTAGATCATATAAAAAAATCTTTGGGCTCTAGTGCAATGAATTGTGCTTCCAGAAATATATTAGCTGAAAATACCCAATACAGATGATTTCTTGATTGAAGTGGATTTATAAAGATGTATCTGTAAATAATAGTTGGACTTCCCTTCATACATTGGCTTTGTTAAGTGAAGCCGTTTGTGCCTAACTGGGTTAAATTGTTTGGCTGTTTTTGTTGTGTCAGGTTACAGGTGTGTCAAGGCTACGAGACAAACAGGACATAGAATAGCATTGTGTGAATACCTTATTCCTTATTTTTAGATGAAGCTGTTAAGTTAACATATCAAGGTTATAAACTCATTTCATACTTTGTTTGGGCTGATGTAACTGTGAGCCCCTTTTAGATGTCATTGTGTATAATGGATGAATAATTTGACAAAGGTTATCAAATAAGCAAGAGGGTTGTGTAACACACTAGGTTAGTCTGCAGATTTGCACTTTTGCATTTGTGTGACCTTGTTTCATTATAAGGTCTTCCAAGGGTCAGAAAGAAGACACCTCCATGTTTGTACAGACACCAGTGGCATTTTAATGTTCTGACTATTAACTATCTTGATTCTGCTTGACATTTGTAAACAATTTTGTCAAGTCAAGTCAAGTCACCATTATTTATATAGCGCTTTTAACAATACAGATTATGTCAAAGCAGTGTAACGCGTGTTGTTTCTATATATGAGCTTCACAGTTCTTACCACGCTCTGGCTCGTGGGTTCTTGGCTTTGATCCAAGGAGGACACCGACAGGGAGCTCGGCAGATCATAACACTTGATTTATTAAACATGAAGAGGTAAACATCATGAATCAGCCACATCCGATTACACAGAGCGTGTCATCTCTCCCTCTACGCTCTCACAACTGTCTAGATCATTCTCTCCCGCGATCCTAATCGCGGGTCTCTGTTCTCGCGATATTACCTCTAGATCTTATTTAAAGTTATAACATTAATGTTAACCTTGAATTTTACTCCCTACATAATACTCCCTTACCCAACAAGAAATGTCCTCATTTCTAACACAACCCTTATACTTATATGGCACAAACAAAATTTAGACATAAGTCAAAACAATATATTACCCAAAATCTGTATCAAAAGGGCCAAAACTCACAAAGAGACGTTTAACAAAAATGCAACATAAATCACATAGGCCCATAAGGATATGGCACAAACAAAATTTAAACATAAAAGTCAAAACAATATATTACCCAAAATCTGTATCAAAAGGGCCAAAACTTACAAAAACATGTTTAACAATAATTCAACATAAATCACATAGGCCATATAAGAAACTCTACATTAACATTCCTATTGTTACATGTATTAACCCTGTACATAAAAAGGAACCAAGTACAGAAAACATTTAGCAAATCAGTAAAGTGCAAAATCCTTCAAATGGTAAGGCAATCGACGTGTCCTGGGAAGCACATTCCGAGTGGACGCTGGAGTATCAGGTGATTCAGAAACACCTGTTGACAGTCCAGCTTCAGGTGTTCCCCGTATTGGAATCAACAGTCCAGAGTCAGACCCCTGCACATTTTCCATAGGGCAGGAAGGTTGTAGGGTCCTGGGCGGTTGCAATTGGGGGTGAGGTTGCAACTGAGGCAACGGTGGTGGTTCCAACAGAACCTGAGGTGTGGGGAGTCCCGGTGGCACAGGTGTAATGTGGGGTGGGAGGAGTCCAGAAAAGGTGTTCAGAGTGGTCGGCTGAACAGGGGATGAATTTCCCGAACTTCAAAATTAACAGGGGTGGAACCACCAAAGGAGCTTCCTGGCCATGAGCCAGAAAGAAGGGTGTCAGTCCTGTGCTAGTGTGCTTAGTGGTGTTATAAGCCAATGCAAACTGCGGGAGGTGCTCATCCCACTCCGTACCTGAGTCAAAAAGTTGTTTGGAAAGTTCATCTTTTAGAGTGCGATTAAAGCGCTCAACAGCTCCGTCACACTGAGCATGATAAGGGGACGTACGGAGCTTCTTGATTGACAACAAGTTACAAAGGTGCTTTATGAGGTCAGATTCAAACTGTCTGCCCTGATCCGAGTGTAGGGCCTCAGGGACACCGTGCTGTGGAATGTAGTGGTCAAATATACAACCTGCCACAGAGACAGCTGTCTGATCTTTTAATGGGTAGAGATTGACAAACTTGGTGTACAGGTCCATCATTACTAGTACATAGTGGTGACCCTTGGTTGAAATAGGCAACTCTGTTATGTCTGCGGCCACTATTTGGGATGGACGGTCAGGAGAGATAGGAATGAGTGGCGCCTGCAGTCGGGGCACAGGAGAACGGCGCGACTGGCAAGCCGTACATTGGGAGCAATGTTTGGCGATGTCTGTAGACATGTAAGGCCAGTAAAAGGACCGCATAGCTCTGTCCAATGTTTTGGCCAACCCATAATGACCCACTGATGGGTGTCCATGGACATGACTGAGTATTTCAGGAATCAATGATGTAGGAATGACTACCTGCAAGGCATTATCACCAAAAGAGTTGCGTAAGTGTCTGCATAACACCCCATTGTGAATGATGAGGCGACTAAACTGTGTCCACAGTTTTCTGAGATATGGGGAAGCATCACGTAGCCTCCATAAGGGTGGTCTACGTCCTGTTTCTATCCAAGAGAAAACAACAACTAAATCTGGATCTGACCTTTGTTTTTCCATCACATCCCAATCACTTTGAATTAGAACGAGATTTGATGTTATGTGACTTGGAACAGTCGCGGGCAAAAGAAAATTTTTGTTCACTGGCAATGTTTGGGTGTGTGCTGACACCGGTTTTGCATGCAAAGGTATTGATGTGGTCTGAGTTGCTACCGAAATGATGGACACATCACCCCGAGAGCAACTATCAGATTCCACAGGATTAGTGTCTGGCCGCCTAGACATGGCGTCTGCATTAAGGTGTTTAGCTCCATCACGATGAATGACATGCCAATCATAAAGGTCCAATTCTATGGCCCAATGGGCTCGTCTACCTGTAGGGTCATGATCTAAAGGAAGTTTCTTAAGACCAACCAGAGGTTTGTGATCCGTAATTATAGTGAACGTGTGACAAGCAAGATAGTGTCGGAAGTGGCGAACCGACCACACGATGGCATACAATTCTCGATCGAAAGTAGACCATTTTCTTTCTGAAGCAGACAGCACATGACTGGCGTATGCAATGACATGCTCTTTTCCTTCCACTTGTTGTGAAAGAACAGAGCCCACAGAATGATGGGAAGCATCTGTGTAAAGAAGGAAAGGAGCTGAAAGATTTGGAAAAGCCATAATTGGCGATGAAGTCAGTGCCTGTTTCAGTACATTGAAAGCTTCATTTGCTTCTGCTGACCAAGAGAATGATACTCCCTTGTGTCTAAGAGGGTACAAGGGTTCAGCAGTGCGTGCAAAGTGACTAATGAATCGACGATAATAGGAACACAGACCCAGAAAAGCCCTGACCTGTGTAGCTGATGTTGGGATTGGCCAAGTCTTGACTTTATCTACGTTAGATGGGTCTGGCTCAACACCGGCACTGGAAACACGGTGGCCCAGAAACGTAACAGAGGAACATGCTAGATGGCACTTGGATGGCTTAAGTTTCAGACCAGCTGTACGAAATCGCTGGAAAACTTCACATAAGTGCTGTAGGTGTTGTGGGAAATTGGCACTGTAGACGATAATATCATCTAAGTAGATCAAACAAACGCTCCAGTGCAGACCCCGAAGCACAAGTTCCATTAAGTGCTGGAAACTGGGCGGTGCGTTAGAGATGCCCATTGGCATCATGCGGAATTGATATAGCCCAATACCAGTGGAGAAAGCAGTCTTTTAGCTGGTGATGCTCTATAAGGGCGCAGTTTTATTGGAGCAGCGTCGCCAGTATAGATGCTATGTGTAATCAAATTAGTTTTGCCATAGTCATGAGAATGAGAGCTAAAAATGTCAGCGAACTCTGTCATCAGGCTCTTAAGCTGTGCCTGTTCTTCAGCATTTAGCTGTGTATCCTCCAAATGCACTTCAGGCATTGGATGGACATCTTCTTTAGAAGTAGTCACGGGTGAGACTAACGCATACTCATCATATGAATTGCCACTGTGGGGGGTGTATTCGTCAGATTGTGTGGTGTAAGGCATGTGTGACTCATGACTACGGGATGAATTAGAGTAGCTACAATGTCTTTGGCAGGAGGAGTCATCAGTTGGGGGTGGTTGATCATGTTCGGAGTAGCCACGGTGGTATCGTTGAGAATAGCAGTCGTCTCGAGGGTGTTGTCGACCTCTCTGTGTGTGTTGTGCAGTACAGCAGCAGGCGATGATAATCATCCAAGCTAGGTTGGCGATGGCGTGCTGCGATGTCGTAGTCCACGGCTGCACAGGACTGATGTGGAGAATGTGTGGAAGATGTCACTTCGTCCTGAAGACTGGAAATCCGCTGCGAAAGCTGGTCCACACGTTCATCCGTCCGTCGTAGATGAGACTGGCGTAAGGCATGCAAGTCAGTTCGGAGTTCAGCTATGGCTGATGCCAGTTCAGTGATGTGGGTTGCTGTCACTGTGTTAGCCGATGGTTGTTGATTCACTATCACAGGCATAACAGCTGAAGGGTTAGCAACACTGATGGCCAACTGAGCACGCTCACATTGAGTGGCCACTCTCAAGGCATTGTCCAAAGTCACAGCGCCATGCTCATGGATTTTCAATTGAAGCGATGGGTCTAAACCGGTCACAAATCTACGAAAAATTTCGCAATTCCGTGCTGCTGCATCATATTGAGGAAACGCTTCAGTCACTAAATACGTGAGCTCAGCAGCATAGACTTCAAGAGGTTCTTGTGGTTTTTGGGG